AAAAATAAATTTAAAAATTAAAAAAAAAAAAAAGAACTGCAAGAAAAGCAGCTGTGTGATTCTGTGGAACAACGAAAGCTCAGGAAACGCTCTTTTTTGTCTCTTCTGATTCTAGCTGTCTGTGAGCCTGGCTGCGGTACACATGGAACTTGCCATGAACCCAACAAATGTCAGTGTCAAGAAGGCTGGCACGGAAGACACTGCAATAAAAGTGAGTGGGAGCCTTCGGAAGAAGGCTTCTGAACTAGCTGTATAGATAATAAGCCACTGGCCCATTTTAGACACAAAATGAAACGGGCTAAATTCAACTATTTCATTTTGATTGATATCTTCCCTGTTGGAAGCAGGAATCCAGGCATCGGAGAGATGCCAGTGAACAGAGAGACAATGCCCTGCCTGGCGGAGCCCAGGTTCTAGTGGGAGGGACAGTTAGCAAGTGAACAAAATAAACAACGTGGCTGCCATCCATCTGGCGGTTGGAACTCAGTCTCCTAAGCGTGGGCCCGCTGTCCACTTTTCCTCGGAGGGAAGGAAGGCTTCGGTCATACCACATCCTTCAATAGCAGAAGCCCACATTGGGCCTGTCATATCGGGTCTCCAAACTAATGGGCACAAATTGAACAGATCATTTCCACCTCAGATGTTTTCCTAGATCCACGGTATCCAGAGGGTGGTGCATGTAGCCCATGAGTACAGAAATGATCAGCTAGGCTGAGGGAAAATATCTAAGCATGTTATATGTAAGTATATCTATACATCTCAATCCAAAGCCTCTGATTTTTGTGCATATTTTATAATGTTCACATTATATTATTATGATGTATATCTAATACATCTACATGCAGGTATACACGTTTGTTTGTTTGTTTGTTTGTTTGTTTAAGGTGGGTTTGTGTCTAGTCGAGGTTACACTAAGCCATTGATTTGAGCCTTTTTCACTCACTGAATTGACTGTATGGTAGATTGAATTGGCTTCAGATGGGCATAGCTTAACAAGACTTGCAGCTTCTCCAGAAAATAGTCCTTTCCCCAGGTGGTAATGGTTGAATGGTATCCATGCTGGGACATACTTGGGATAAGGCTCTTTTGAACTAAAAGAGACCTGTAGAAAACTAACCATTTCTGGAGACCTTTTGGGAAAGAGTAAACAAAATCCTTTAAGGGGCCCTTAACTCGGGATACAAACCCTAAGGTTTGTCCCCAAATCAAAGTAGCTTTCAAGACGTCCTCGGGCCTAGGGATGAGCTGAGGTCACACACTGTACCTCCCAGGCCTCATTTACAAAGATCTTCTGAGACCCCACGTTTCGGGCTTGGTGACCAAGAGTGATGGCCAGAGAGTAGAGGGGCCCCGTTCCTGCTGATACACCCATCACTCCTCCAGAAAGAAGGCAAGTTAGGAGGCCTCAGGTGGCATCGGAGGCCTCAGGTGGCATTGGTGAGTGATTCTCACAGGTCTGCCAGCCCCAGACATCCTCATTCACAGACCCGGTGCTGAGAGTGTTGTCATTTTGTCATCGACTACGTGGCTCCCTCAGATCAAGGCATTGCATCAAGAAGATGCCCTGGTGCTTGACTAAGATGCAGATGTGTTTTCTGGGAGAGGCCACCCAGCCATTTGGTACATTAGCTTAGAGAATTGGGCTGGAAGAATGAGGTTTATTTTGACCAGGGGGTGGTGACTAGGAAGCTCTGAGGCACAGAGTTCTGCTGGGAACAGATTCCCAGCGAGGTGACACTTTGGGAGGTCCTGGGCACCCAGACATGTTATTGGGGAGGAGGACACTGGAGACAGACTTCCCGGCTGAGGCTCACCCCCCGCCAGCAGGGAGGTTCGGGCTTCATGGGTGGCGGGGAGAGCAGCAGGGTAGGGATTTACTCCAGCGCGTTGTTGGCTCATGTTCTGGCTGTTCCATGAGCTACTAGCCTACATACTGACAATTCAAAGAAACACATTCAGGAACAAAGTATTCTGTTCTCAGTAGTTATTTAATGGCATGCTTGCATTTAAAAACCACAGGGAACAAACGGAATGCCAAACTCGACTCTAATGCCCAGGAAGATGGTGGGAGATTTTTAAAATGTGATTGCTGTCTTGGATCCGTTTTAGAAAATCAGTAGAAATGAGTCAGTGCCCCAGGCACCTCCAGAGGTTCACAACCAGGAGGAAGGGAGACCCGAAGCTATGTTGCTCAGTGTTACAGTTCACTTACAAGTGAGCTGGAAATGCACAGATGCCCACCTTGACTGAAACTGGCAAATCCCCATTGATAAGGAGTCAGTTCAAACCGTAACCCTTCTCTAAAATGTATCATAGAAGCCCTTACTTCTTACCCAAATCCTATTTTATGTAAGTGCAATAGCCACACTTGATTGTGTGATTGATATGAACAGTGGGGGTGTTCTGGATCAATTTAATCGAGGCTGGTTTTGCAATGCGGTGAAGCATCCCTGCTTTGGGGACCTCAGTGCGAAATCCCTACCAGCCCTTGGGTGGAGAAAATCATTCAGTCACATTCATCCAAACTTTGATCAAGAGTTTCTGCATGGCCAAAACACATAGTGAATCAGGGCTTCAATGGAAGCCAGATTGGATGGTTCCTAAAATGGGTTTCTTTTTTAACAGAGACCCTGAACCTGTAACATCTCTTCATTCAGGTGGCTTTTTGTGGTGACTGTGGTCTTTCACTCTGGGATGAAAAGGGAAAATGGATTTCATTTGAATGGTTAATAATGAATCTGAAGAGCCCGTTTTTGTAGTTTCTTTTCTTTTAAGCTGTGAATAATTTTACAGGGTACGGAGCCAGCCTCATGCATGCCCTGAGGCCAGCAGGCGCCCGGCTCAGGCAGCACACGCCTTCACTTAAAAAGGCCGAGGGGAGGCAGGATCCACCTGAATCCAATTACATCTGGTGAACTCCGACATCTGAAACGTTTTAAGTTACACCAAGTTCATAGCCTTTGTTAACCTTTCATGTGTTGAATGTTCAAATAATGTTCATTACAGTTAAGAAAACTGGCCTGAATTTTATTAGCTTCATTATAAATCACTGAGCTGATATTTACTCTTCCTTTTAAGTTTTCTAAGTACGTCTGTAGAGTGATGGCATAGATTTTCTTGTTTCAGTGTTTTGGGACAGATTTGACGTTATGTCAGTGGATCAGGTTAAAACTGTGTCTTTTCAGTTGTGTAGCTGGCAAATTACTTCCAAAATTGCAATGCATTCACGGTGTCAAGGGGCTGGGGAACACTGAAGAAGATACGTGGAACAAAAAGGCATAAATCACAGCGTTTGGATGAAGCACTTAATTGTGTTGAAGTTACCACATTTCTAGTGTTCTTGTCAGGTATTTAGACATTTGTCACATTTTTAAAATTCCCCTTGTTTGTAAACTCTCAACACAATATATTTTGACCTTACCATGATTCCAGAGAATTCACTAGAAAGAAATAAAGAAAGAAAGAAAGAAAGAAAGAAAGAAAGAAAGAAAGAAAGAGAAGAAAGAACACTGTGGCAGTGGCATTTAACAATATAATATATGTAAACACAATAAAATAGGGAATATAATGTATGGACTTTTGGCATTGGCTTGAAGCAATATAATATATTGTAAACAAAACACAGCTCTTACGTAATAAACATTTTATACTGTTTGTATAAAATAAAGGTGCTGCTTTAGTTTTCAGAGGGTTGTATGGAGTGGTCTTTGCACGTGCTATCTTGTGGAAATAAAGTTGGTTGCAGTGAGTGGTAGTGAACACTCTGTAGTTATCATGAAAAAGAGAAGATGTTCCCATCTCTGACCCTGCCCTGCTCCCCAGGCGCGCCCCTCCCTCCCAGCTCTCTGCCTTGGCTCTAGCCACACCGCGTTACACCTTGGGCACTGCCTGCGACCTTCCTGTGCATGTCAGCTCCCGTGTAGTTGACATTTCTTTCTTTTTTTTTCAATATATGAAATTTATTGTCAAATTGGTTTCCATACAACACCCAGTGCTCATCCCTAAAGATGCCCTCCTCAATACCCATCACCCACCCTCCCCTCCCTCCCACCTCCAGTTGACATTTCTTTCAAGAAGTCTTCTCTAACTAAAATGTGTTAAATTTCCCTTCAGTAGGAGACTTTCTAAGACTTTCTAAAAGTGTCAGGATGTTGCAAACGACAAGTGCTACCATTTATTCAAACCTTACTGGTTCCCAAGGACACTGTATGTGTTATCTTACAATCCTGTGAGGCAGGTATCATTATGCCCCTCCACAGATAAGAAAACTGAGGTAGGGAGATATGAAGCAGTTTACCCAAGATCACACTTGAGAGGGTCATGTTTGTTTTTTGTTTTTAATTTTTTTTTAAACATTTACTATTGAGAGACAGAGACAGAGCATGAGCAGGGGAGGGGCAGAGAGAGGGGGAGACACAGAATCTGAAGCAGGCTCCACGCTCCGAGCTGTCAGCACAGAGCCCGATGCGGGGCTCGAACTCACAAACTGCAAGATCATGACGTGAGCGGAAGTCAGACGCTCAATGACTGAGCCACCCAGGCGCCCCTAGAGAGGGGCACGTTTGAATTCATGTCACCTGACTTGGAAGCCTTAACTAACACTAGACTATTCCTCCTCCTTTCCTTTTCTCAGCAAGTACAGTGGAACACAAAACTCCACAAATCCTAAGTAGGTGCTTTCCAACATATTTTATTCTCTTCATCCTTCCAGGGGAATGTGGACTCTATTTTATAGAAAATCTGAAGCCTACACGTTTTCTTTTCCTGGGCAGTGGCATAACGATTTGTGCGGTTTAGGGGCATGACGTGTTATGGGAAGTGATCAAGGGAGAGTCTGGAAGCAGACTGAACACATCTTGTTGTGGTCCTAGACCACAGCAATCTTTCTCCTCTAACTAGCCAGGGCCCGGTGTGCCAGCTTCTGCTCACACATACTTGGCAAAGCCAGTCAGGACCCAGGGAGCTAACCGTGGGGATCTGAATATGAGAACCAACTGATTTAAGACTTTGAAGTAAAAATCCAGATGCTTGATGATGAGGATCCAAGATGGCGACAGAAAGTTAAGTTTGGGGATACGATAATAGTACTAAGAGCTAGGGGCACCTGGGTGGCTCAGTCAGTTAAGCATCCGACTCTGGATTTTGGATCAGGTCATGATCTCACAGTTTGTGAGATTGAGACCCGTGCTGGGCTCCCCACTGACAGCACAGGGTCTACTTGGGATTCCCTTTCTCCCTCTCTCTCGCACGCATGCACACACACACACACACACACACACACACACACACACACGTGCTCTCTGTCTCTCTCAAAATAAATAAATAAACTAAAATAGTACTAATAGCTAACACTAATAGTACTTAGTTTATTCTAAGCCCTTTACCTCATGAATGAGTAATAGAAAGGTGGAAAAGTTAGACTGAAGGCAGGGTAACAAAGCACAATAGCCTAGGTTGGTCATCTCCAAACCATTTGACTCTACACTCCATTGGAAATGTCTGAGCGCATAGTCCTACCTGTGCTTATATTTATTTACATATATAACTGGCATGCATCATAAAAGCAGAAACATGGAAGAGATAAAAATATTAATACTTTCACCACTCACCCAGAAGACAGTTTTATGTGCACCCTGGAGTACAGGCCCCCACAGGAGAACTCAGGCAAAGACATCACTGAGGAAAACACATCGGATCCGAAATGGCTTTAGAATTCGTGAGTCTGCACTCCAGAGGGATTTCAAACATAAGCAAGGGACTGGGTCGCGGACTGCATGTAGGGTTTAAGAAAAGAGAAAATCTGGGGCTCTTGGGTGGCTCAGTTGATGAAGCATCCAACTTCGGCTCAGGTCATGATCTTACTACAGTTTGTGAGTTCGAGCCCCACGTCAAGCTCTGGGCCTCCGTGAGGCAATTTTTCTCAGGGCCCGTTTCCTATCCTCTGTCTTCCTCTCACTCTGATCCTACCCCACTCATGCTCGCTCTCTCAAAAATGAACAAACATTTTTTTTTTTTTATAAAGAGGAATCTGAACAGTGATATGAATGACCAAGGAGAAACAAGTACAGGCAGTGGTGAAGGCTTCCAGAGATGTTGACTTTGGTACTGAAGATGTTGAGTTTAATGTGCCTGTGTGGGACATCTTGGTGGAAATGACTGGTAGCCATTTGGAAATACAGTTATCAGGAGGTTAGTCTGATAATGTGTTGATTATCAGTTATAAGTGAATGGTACTAATTATATATTGAATTATTTTTAATATACACATATATAACAGCTTTATTTGGTGAAGCACAGTATGATTCACTTGTATTTTATTGTGTCTTTAGGTCCTATATAGTTAATACCATTTGCTGCTTACCTGTGTGCATGTTTATTTACACAACAGTAGAGCCTTTACTATTTGGCAAATTGAGCACTTCCTCCCTCCCTTTCCCACCATATGTATTATGAATCTTCATCCAAAATATGCCCCATGGTTACTTTGTCTGTTTATGTAGAATCACAACGATAGAGGCCAGCTCTTGAAGCAATGAACAATATTGTGGGATACAAAACAATTGCTGTTACTCTTACGAAGTAACCACAAAAGAGGGGAAGGGAGAGGAAGAAGAGAGAGGAGGAAGGGAAAGAGGAGGAGAATGATTTATGTAAAACACTTCTAAACAATAATTTTAAGGTTAAAATAGTAAGGAGTCAAGGCAGTCTGAGAAGATGTATGCTGTTTGGCAAGATAAAATAAGCAGGAAAAATTAGGCAGGAAGAAATAAAGGTTAAACAATAAAACGGGCCCAGGAATGAGGTTAGGACAAAAGGTATACGGGGACCCCCACACACTTGTGAGAGGTAGACCACACGTATTGCTCCAAGCCCTGTTCCAGCCACCTCAAAGAGGAAATCAGGGCTGGTTACGAGTCCCAAAGACCACAAACACAAAAACTAGTTGCTCAGGAGAAGTTAAACTATATAAGGCACTTACATTACGGCTGGCTCAAGGTAAGTAGGTCTGCAGGAAAGCTGCTTTGGTGTCCCTTCAAGTGAATAGCCTTTCAAATATCTCTTCCACATATATTTACAGAGGAGCTGCTTAAAGAGGTTTAAAAGGGGGTGGGGAGGGTTGCTGACAGGGTTCAGCTTCTCATCCAGTATCCTAGGCTATTTGTCTCCAGTCCTAAAATGCCATGCCCCACCCAGAAAACAGAAGCTCTCCAGCAAAATCCAGCCAAGATGCTCAGAGGGAAGTTCATGGAGCACATTGATCATGCTCCTTGAAATTCTTAGCACCTCCCCACGTGGCTTCTCAAAATATTCCCTTCAATCGTGTACAGTACTCCTCCTAAAAGTTTTGGTAACTAGATTGTTGTCCTCATCCCATTCCCTGTCCGGTGATCCTTGCGGCACAATATTAGCTTGCTGTGCTAGGCATCACCCCAGACGAGCCAGCCCTTCCACCAGCCCTGATTGCAAGTGGAGAGCAATGTCTCCCGTGGGTTCTCCTAAAGACGTCCGAAGGTCACATACGACACAATGTTCTCAGTCATATAGACAGAGCAATAACAGATAGGACTATTCTTTCCACGCTCTTCAAGAAGGCACATATCATCACAATTAGTACAGTTCAAGAAAAGCATTTCTACCAAAATAAGGGGGGATAAGGAAATATCATGAGGTGAGAAAATTTTAAGTTAGTTAAATGAGCAGAATGTCTGGGTGGCTCAGTTGAATAAGTGTCCAACTCATGGTTTTGGACCAGGTCATGATCTGATGGTTCATGGGTTGAAGCCCTGCATTGGACTCTGTGCTGATGGCATGGAGTCTGCTTAGGATTTTCTCTCTCTCTCTCTCTCTCTCTCCCTCTTTCTCTCTCTCTCTCGCTGCTCCTCCCTTGCTTACGCTCTCTCTTTCTCTCTCAAAATAAATAAAATAACCTTTAAAAAATAAATAAATTCGTTAAATGGGAAACACTGACTTTCAGAAGAATTTCTTGGGGCAAAAAAAAAAAAAA